TCCCCACCTTATTTATTGGCGCCGAGGGGGAAGCCCATGGAGAATTTTGGGGATGTTTTGGTCTTTTCTTCCTTTTGTAATAAAAATTATTTAAGTTGTTAGAGCCATGGAGTCCAGGATGCTGAGTGGGGTGCATACGCAGGCAGTCTGAAGCCGGGAGTAGACCTGTCTAGGGGTGTGCTTACCTTCCCCGAAGGACAAAACCTCCAGTGCTCCCATGCCCTCTGCAGGCCCTTTCTCCCCAGGAGCTCTGCAAAGCCGCAACAGAGTGCTGTGCTGTGCGCCAGGCAGGGTGTTAGCGTGCTGACCCCGAGGCCGGCCCTAATACGGTGGGAGGAGAGAAGTGAGATAACTAGTACATGGTCACTTCACTCATCTAGAACCAGCTCCTGAGCTCTGGTCAAGGAGCTTCCCCTGTTTACTCTGGTTATTCTAGGTGCCTGGCTTTCTGATTATTCACTGTGGATAATGGACTGTGGTATGAAATGATTCTGGAGACTGTACCTCTGCCTTGCGGCCCATTCTGACTTCTTGGATAAGTCAGGGGTTCCTTACCTAGCATTTCTTAAACCTCAGGATCAGCTAGGCAGCTTGTTTAAAAATGATCCTTGGACTCACTTCTAAGATTTTCCTTTGAAGATGGAGAGCAAGGCCCAGGAACTTACTTTTACAAACACCCCAAACACGGCAGATGGTCCACGGACCACACTTTGAGAAACATTGCTTGGTCTAGAGAAGGCCCAGTTTGTTACCCAAACAGGATGACCCCCTTCTTCATTTTCTCTTAGTCTGTCTATCCCAAGGCAGGTTTTTCTGTGCTCACTGCAGATCGGCTGAGATTCCCAGGCCCAGTGGTACGATTGTTATATTTCAGAAATTTCATGAGCCAGTTGCAATAGGCCCTGGTGAGACGATTTACACCATGGAAACTGGTCCATGGTACTAGCTAGGGTTTCCCCTCTGTGGAGAGCCAGTTTTTGCGGTACACGGCCACCCAGGTCCTAGCCTCGTACGGAGAGTGCAGTGTTGGGGGTGACTGCTCAGATCCTTACCTTACCCATTTCCCACCTCCACAGAGGAAAACTCCAGAGAAAACTTTATTCCTTGGAGACTGTGTCTTCTGAGGGGAGGGGGGAATAGGTCCCCACAGGCTGTAATGAATGACCACTGCTATCGTTTAATGAAGACTCCCTGTTGCCAGGCATTGTTCTAAGTGCTTTACATGTAGAACCCATTTAATTTTCATGACAACCCTTTGTGGTATATACTATAATATTACCATGTTCCTGTGAGGACACAGAAACACAAGGAGGCTAAGTAACTTGCCCAAGATAAGCAAGTGACAGAAGCAGGATTTGAACCCATGCATCTATCTGGCTTTCGGGCTCATTGCATTTTGTTTTGTTTTGTTTTTGAGATAACATTGGTTAATAACATTATATAACTTTTACAACATTATAATTCATTATCTGTACACACTGTAGCATGCTCACCACCATAAGTCTAGTTTCCACCCATCACCATACATCTGACTCCCTCTTACCCATTTCTCCCTTCCCCTACATTTCTAAGGCCCCCTGTTTATACCACAGGCTTTTCCCTTGGTGAACTTGGGTCCTCAATGGAAGGTACTCTTAGCATTTCAGGCCTGGAAATCTGCTTTGTTAGTACATCTAGGTTTGACTCACTGCTCTGTGGCAGACAGTCATGGACCAGGCTCACAGGAACCAGAATGTCCATGAACTTATTTATAGTGAGAAACATAAAAGGTCAAAGTCAAGGTACTCTTGTCCACTCATTTGCACATTCTCACCCTTGTAGACAGAGGCTCTCTCCTATGGAGTTGAGGGGGCTTACCTCTCCTACTGGGCCTGGGCACATTCTATCCTATAAACAGAGCCATTAGGTGTCCCCAGACCGTTCTGTTCTAGATGGGTGTCCTCAGGAAACACATTCATTCACCAGACAGAGAAGGCTGCAAAGGTTCAGCCCCTCAAAAGACCAACCTTGGGGTAGAAGTTGGACCTGCAGCTTTTCTGGGAATCCTGGGCCCAGATCTGAGGAGACTGTGTGAGCAGTGAGACAAAGAGAGACAGCCTGTCATCCTCCATCTCTGCAGTGTGATTGCCCCAACCTCTTCCACCAGAACCTAGCTCGCCCCATCCTCTATGATGCCAAGACTCAGAAGGTCAACTATAGCACTCGGACCCAGGAAGCTACTGATCCAATGCTTGCCTCTTCTCTCAGGCTCATGCTCAGCCCCCAAAGTGGCTCAATCCACAATTGTAAACTTCATTCACCTGTTCGGTCATTGTTTACTGGAGACCCTTGTGTCAGGCACTGTGCCAAAGGGAGGGAAGGAGGCAGTTTCTGTCCTCAATGAACTGAATGGTAGGGAACAGCTCAAGGAGATGGATGTCTACACCATGTACTGAGTGCTGTGCCTGACACCCTCACAGGGGCTATTGGAGTGCTGCAGAGAGGCTAGGAACTAGGAAGACTTCCTAGAGATGCAGATCATGCAGGGAGGGCAAGAAGGAGTTTGCAGGTGAGTAAAGGAAGGGGTCTGGACTGAGGACATAGTAAATGCAAAGGCTTGGAGGCTTGAGTGAGCCTGGGATTTTGGAGGAATCACCACCAGGTCAGCATCACAAAGCTATGTGGTGTATGTGGATTTGGAAAAGCTGAGGTGGTGAGTGGGGCAAGAGTTGGATTGCACAGAACCTTGTGTTCCATGCACTGGGACTTTATCCTGAAGGCTTGGGGGAGCACCTGGAGAGTTTGAAGCTGGGAAGCTCGTGACTAGATTGTTTGAGAAAGCTTACCTGGCTGCAGGGTAGAGGACAGACCACAGAAGGCAGCCTTGGAAGCGAGGAGTCCATTTACTGGAGAGAAAAGTTGATGACCTGGACTGAAGAGGTGGTTGTGGGGTCAAAAAGAAGATAATGGATTGTGGACATTTACGCAGGAAAGTGACCAGGACTTGAAGCCTGTTTGGATGAGCAATGATGGTGAGGAAAGGGCCCAAGGCAACTTCAGGTTTTTAAGCCTGAGATCCAGCACTCTTGACCTTGGTTCTCCTCTGGCCTTCCTGCCTGCACCAGTAATGGAGATGTTTAGGGTTTTCCCATGAAGATGTCCTCCCTTCTCACTGGCCCAGAGCTGGTCTTCTTGGGTTCAAAGCACCCTTCAGACACCTGCTCTCTCTCTGCCTTCCCCCAACATACCGTGAGTGCATGGGGAGGAAACGTGGAGTAGCCCCCTTATAGCCAAGTCTAAGCAAGGTACAAAGTACGAGACATGTGCCTAGTCTACAGGTCCTCGGGGAAAGCTGGAGATAGGGAGAACTGGAATATCAGGGTACAGGACACAAAGTGGGGGAAGCTCCTGACCATGAGACCTCTGGAGCTACCTGGGCAGACTGCCCTCAACACAGGGGTCACTGCACCCTGGCTCTCTTCAGACACTCATCCCCAAGTTGTCCTTGCAACCTCCTCTCTCGTTTGGAAAGGCTCAATCACCCTGTGCATGGCCTTTCCTAAGCCATGTGAACCTGCGCTCACTGGTCTTCCCCAACACAGCCTGAAGGTGCTGCCTGCCTGCAGGATGGCTTCTAACAGCGAGTAGTGCTGTGTTGGGAAGGGCTGAGCTGAGTGCAACATTATATAGGCAACTAGGCCTGCTACTAGCATCTGCAGCCCAAGTGTGGGGACTGGAAATAGTCGTCCCTCCTTTAAAAAGCTTAAAAAAGTAGCAAAGTCCAGACCAGAACCCAAGTCTCCTGTAACAGCAACTGAGGGAGGTGGAAACTGATGACTCATTCTCCCAGGGGAAGTCACTCCCAGCATCAGCCTGAGAAGTCTAATAGCACTGAGCGTGGCCAAGAACCTGTCTGGGAAGGTGGTCTTGGAGGAATAATGTTCTAGATATCGTGAGAGGATCCCATTTTGGTGGGAATGGCAATGGTTAAAATACGTCCACAATTATTTGACACTCCTCTCCCCTTGAATCTGGTTTAAGGCTAGAAAAGGCCATGTAGGTTCTGCCAGGTTTTACTCTGAGATTGCCAAGCTGGAGCAGCTCTAGATAGGTGTTCCTGTCCATAGCCTAGCAAGCATCCAGCTGACAGCCAACACCAGCTGTCAGCCATGTGTGCCATCTTGGACGTCCAGTCCAATGGAGCTGTCAGATGGCTGCAGCCCTTGCCAATGTCTAAATGCAACTCCATGAGAGACTCCAAGAGGGAACTGCCTGGCCAAGCTCTTCCTGAATTCCTGACCCACAAATTCATAAGCAAAATAGAATGATTGTTTGGGATCTTGAAATTTGGAATAATTTCTTACGCAGCAATAGTAATCAGAACAAAGGGCAAAAAGGGAATGGGAAATGATGAGGGCATCTTCTGAGTCTTTCCAGGGTCCTTTAATATACTTTTACACAAAAGCTTTTAAAAATAGAACCTGAATGAGGCTGGAGGAGGTGTGATACTCCTTTCTCTTCTAAAGGGGAAGTGTGAGAAGACACACTGACTTGGAATAAACGTGGAGTGGATAGAGATGGAGAAAAGGGGGAGGGATGGAGAAGCACACCTCTCCACACTCAGCCAACTGAAAAAACACTATGTGTCTACTCAGGGGGCAAGACCTCTGATGATAGCAAACTCTTGGAGGAGTGAAGAGCCTTCTGGAAGGAAGGAGGCTCATGCATCTGAGTTAGTGGATAGAAAGTATCTGGCCAAGTGGAAGAAAATGCTATTAGAGAGTATTAAAAAAGACAAATGATAGATGTTAAAGAAAGTGCTCAGAGATCGGGGCCAGACCTGGGAAAAGGCTGGACATTCCTGTGAACAGTGGCTGGTCACATTTTCCCAGAGTGCCCTTGTAAGCAGAAACTTGTAGGGCCTCAACAGGAAGGTCCACAAAAACAAACTAAAGCATTCTTTTGCCCTAATGAATCCCAGGTGTCTCTGCATCTGACTTCTGCACACACTTCCAAATGCCCAGCTTAAGAAAACTCAGAGGAAAGTGACCAGGCAGATAATAGGAAATGAGTGTGGCTCCAGGGAGTGGTTGAGAGTGTAGGGTTGGAATGGTTAGCGTGAAGATGGGTTTCTTGGTTTTGAACTCATAATCCTAGAGAAGCAAAAATGGGCATGATTAAAATCCAATAAAGAGGTGAAAATAACAAATTTATAGTGAAGAATCCTGGCAGACACCACTTTAGGCAAGTGATCAAAGTTAACATCACCAATAAAACATTGACATCATATACCCTCTGATATGATGAACTAAGAAAGGCATATAACCTCTGTGCTCTGCTTCCCATATAACCTTACTCTATCATGAGAAATAAATCCATGTTGAGAAATATTCTACAAAATCATTGGCAGCTCTCTTCAAAAGAGTCAAAGGCATGAAAAATTGAGGAAGTGCCCCTGTTGGAATCCTGGATTGGCTACCAAAACAGGAAAAGGATTTTAGTGGACAAACTTGTGAACTCTAAATAAATTCTACACTTTCATTAATAGTATTTGTTGTACGAAGGTTAATATTTTAGTTTTGATAAATAATCTATGGTCATGTAAGAGGTTAATCTGGGGTGAAGGACTTATGAGAACTCCCTGTACTGTCTTTATGAATCTTCTATATATCTCACAATTTTAAAAATGAAAAAAATCTAAAAGATAGACTCTCATGGATCAGTCAAAGGTGGGATCCCTCCCCATACATGAAATCCAAGCCAACTTCCACACTCAGAGGAAGCCAGTTGCACTGAGCCGATGGCCATGTCATGATACTTTTACTTGGGAGAGGACTCTAGTCAAAAATGGATTGGAAAAGGGTTTGAGGAATTAGGATGGAAAATCACAGAAGAGTGGTGTTCTTCATTTATTCAGAACATATAATGAGCCAGGTACTGTACAAAGTTCTTCAAGTTTTTTATCCCACTTACATCTCACAACCTTTGAGCTATTGAAGTTTCCCTGTTTACAGATGGGGAGACTGGGTCTTACAGGAGTGAGGAAACAAGATCATACAGCTAAAAGCTGGCACGGTTGGGATTCAGATCCATTCTACTTTACTCCAGAGCTTGTTCTTAACCACTTCACTGTACTTTCTTCTCAGAGATGCCCCTCATTTAGTTCATACCTTGGGTTTCTGCGCTGGGATGGATGGGGAATGAGGAGATTGAAGGCAGGACGGAGTGGATGGCCTAGGATAGGCTGGTCAGCCAGAGCTGTCCATGGTGCTGGACAGAGAAGCTTGGAGCTAGAGGGCCAGCAGGAGATGGTGTCAGGAAGACAGCTGGGAGAACCCACTCAGAAAAGGAACACTGCTCAGAGTAGAAGTAAAAAGCCATTAGATGTGCTGACAGTTCCTCCACCAATGAGGAGGAATTAGAGAGGAAGGGACTTCAAGTTTTGTCTTGAAATAAATAACCAAGTCTACAGTAGCTTGTGAGGTAGGGTTTGTCCTCAGATCTGACTTGCAACTAATATTATTCAATGTAGTTATACTGATTATTGAAATCTGGTAATACTTTGGTACTTGTTGGTAAAAAGTCACTGACTGAGTCTTCCACTGCTGTGGCTGCTCTCCTAGTCCCCTTCCTGTACCCCAAGGCTTCCCCATGACCCAACAACTAAAATGTTAAGACTTGGCACAATGTGGGCTTTTAGGACCCTACTCTGGCTCCAAAGCCAGCTGGTGCCCATTCTCATAGTCAATACTCATGCCTTACTAATTGTTAAGTATTTTGAATATTACCTCTGTTTGTTCCCATTTTACAGATGAGGAATATTTTACAGATGTTTAAGAATTTGCTTAAAATTGCTCAGCTATTGAATACTAGAATCAGGACCTGAACTCAAGTCTCTGGGATCAAATCTCATGGTTTTTTCACCCTCTATCTCCCTGCTGTTGGCCTAAGTGGGGATGAGGAATAGAGGGAGAAAATTATCTAGGGGGGTTGGGTTGACACCAAAGGATTAGAAAACCCTATAAACCCTATGAGGGTCCCAAGCAGAATGAAACTCTTTGAATTCTCTTGCCATATAGCAGTTTACCCCCAAACCCCTGACAGTTTTGTGCCATGGCAGCTGTTGCAGGCTAGAGGTACCATCAGTCTGTTAACACACTCTTCCCCCACCCCAGCTGCTACAGGGGATCATAGCACTCTAATGCAGAGAGTGGTCCATGTGTGCTCCTTGATCCGGCCCTGAACCACCCCCAGTGGATCTTTTGGCTGCAGTCTTTTCTCACTCTCCATTCCTCAGACTGGGCTTAGAAGACTTACTCCACTAATTTCAGAGGTCAGAAGGCTCTGTGGGAGGACACACCTCTTCATCTCCTTCCTGTAAATTAAATACAGCTTGGAAGCAGACCTAGCTTCAGAACCAACGCTCTAAATTGAGTCAGAGTTGCAGGGGAAGGAAGGTGAAAGGAGGTTTTGCGCGTGCTGGAGCTAGGCTGACTTGCCATCTGGATTGAGGTCACCCTGGCATCTCCTTTTGTCTTTCTCCACCCTAGAGCAGCAAGGCAGCCTCCTTCTTGGAGAAACAAGAGGAGGATGTGGAGAAAAGAGAAATTTCTTGCCTCTCCAGTGGGCAGCGGAGAGACTGGGTGGTGGTGGGAGAGAAGGGTGCACAGGTCTAGTTGTTTACTTATAGGGACCTCACATTTAGTAAGTGACCTGTGCGTGCGTGTGTGTGTGTGTGTGTGTGTGTGTGTGTATCTAACTTTGTTGATTGTCTACCATGTGTCGAGTACTTTACATATGCCTGATAACTCAGTTCTCATACAAACCTTTTGATAATTATTCCCAGGTAGCAGATGAGGAAACTAAGGCTCACAGAGGTCATGTGATTTATCCAAGGTCACACAGCCAGTAAGTGGCAGTCAGGATTAATCTCAGGTCTGCCTGATTTCCCAGCCTAGAGTCTTCTTATTCCATGGTGGCAGGGGTGGAAGGTAGGGAGTAGTGGGTGGCGTGGAACTGTGGAGGACAAACTTAGAAAATATATTTTTATGTGTGCTGAGGCCCAAATCACTGAGCGTGCTTTATCTTTATTACGCCCATCACCAGCTTCCAACCAGGAAGATTAGGGTCTATCTCCTTTACATCCTTCTTCCTCTCTTTCTCCTGCATCCTGGTCCTCACCAATTTCCTGGATCATCACTTACCCTTGCTCATAGCCTTAAACCAAACGGTACCCACCCCTATTGACTTTTTTGGATCCTTGGAGCATATGGTCACCAGGACCCAGCACCCATTATCTTCCATGGGTTCTGGGCTCCTGAAAAGGGAGACTTCTGAAGCAAATTTAGTCACAACTAAGGGACTATACATACCATGTTGCTACTGGTAGAAGCCCAAA